TTACTTGTCTACCACATTCATGTCACTATCATCTAGGTATGAACAAAAATCACTCACACGCTCACACTCTTGCGTTCTCTTCACAGTAACAGCACTAATTAGTGCGTCTTTTTTACTGCGCCCGACACCGTGAGACATAAGTTGACCAGTCCATGTGACTGTAATTTCACCAGCATATGTAATTTCGCCTGCACAACCTGGAGATACTATCCTTATAAACAGTAATCCAGTCATCTACACTGCCTACAATGCGTCACACGGCTATGGAAAATGATATACTATCAGAAAATAGAAAACAGAAACCATTTATTGCAAAGCCATGTTATAAAAAAGAAACACCAAAAAAAACAAACAGCATAGCTACCATTTTGATGACAAGGAATTAATCCTTATCCATTATATAATCCACTTAGATTGGTACTATAAAAATACAGTTTTTTTTCGCGTTTTCTCGGTCTTTGATGTCTTTCAATGCAGTCATACTTACTATGAAAAAAAGGCTACATTAGGAGTCTATACAACCTCAAATGGCATTGGTTGATTGCGCATAACAGTGGAAGTGTTGAATCAATCTTTTTGGAAGTAATATATAGTAAAATGAAGGATATAATTAAGATAATGCACTGATTAATTATAAGGGGTGAAAACACGATTTCTAAAAATTTTCACAATAGAGATAGTTATTTGTTATGTAAGGCTGCAAAGTTGTTGCTCGACTCGAGTGCTTGTATTGAAACCAGAGCAGGCGGAGGAAGGTAAGATTGAACCACGAACGAAGAAAAAAAAAGATTCCTGAGCGTAGCGAGGGTTTCAAGACACGACACGCAAAACAACTTTGCTGCCGAGCGAAACACACAACCATTCACCTCACTGTAGAGAGGAAAATGGTAGATGGAAGAAAAATGGCTGAACTATAAAACATTAGTTTTATTTTAATTAAAAGAAAAAGTTTAATTAAATTTTTATTGAATTGATATTCAATTATTTTTTGTGAAATTACTCCACTAGTTTGTTATAATTATTAATACAAAGATGGAACACTCAGGAACGAACACGAACGCCAGGAGTGGTAGTTGTAAAGGTACTAACTGGGTGATAAATCTGTCATAGATTTCTCATAGATGGCGCTACGACTAAAAAGTCGTTGAAAGACCAAGTATAAAGACACGACGCAAGCACATAGAAAAATTCGTGAGGTCCGTTGGTTCGTTCCGTAGCTTAGTTGGTATAGCGTCTGGCACGGTATGCAAGAAGACGTCGGTTCGAATCCGACCGGATCGAAGGAATTTTTTCTGAGTGTTCGATCTTTGTATTAATAATTAGAAAAAGTTTATCTTTGGATGCATTCTAAATTTAGACCTCATCATTTTTTATTCTTACTTGTACTTTTATTTTGTGTAATTAAGTGACTATTTAAATTATTTTAGTTGTTCGACGAATTAAAATAATTTAATAAACACAATTACTTATTATTGTCAATTTAATGTCAATAATGATAAGAATAAAATATACCAAAGGATTTATATTACATAGTAATGTACGACAAATCGCGTTGAACGTGTCATTATCTTTGTTTGAGAGATAAAGTTAGGTGCACCCATGTGCACCACACAGAAAGACTTCGTTAAGTTCGGATTTCAAAAACCTTTTCCACGCTAGCATGCAATAAATTATATAGAGAAAGAAAGCCTTTCCGAGCTAATGAGGTCAAAAAAAAAACAAACTTATCTTTAAATTTTAAAATAAAATCACTGTATTCAATAAGTACTTTATATATACCAGTTTTTTTTATGTCGACTGAACTTAATAGAATTCGTAGGTATAGTGTACGATATACATTTTACAAAACCAGTGTCCTTGACGCTCGACCCCAGCAAAATAAACCTTATTAGTACGGAAAAAGTTTGAATTCTTAAGTAATCTGTAATTTTACTCTGTCTTAGACCACTTCTTGCAATATAATTTCTTTGTTAAGTGAGTTATATCATGGTAAGACCCAGAGGTGGTGCCCGCAGTATTCCTACGCACCTATGTTAGTGAGGAATTGGTTATAGTTTTTCCAGCTGCACTCCAATGGGAAGGGGCCCTTAGCTGATGGCCAGCGACGTCGGGATCGCGGAAGAGTACGAACGCGTTTCGTCCGTTAGTCCCGGCAAAAGGCGCAGTTACGGAACACCATGGGGTTTTAGTTCGGTAGGAGTCCAACATAATCTGTTGCGGGGGCAACAGAGAGGTATCCATGAGGATTTCCTCACGTATACTATAAAAATCCCATCTATAATACTGCCGTCCTTGTCATAACTGACGCATTGGCACGTAAGGTTCTGTTTTCTTTAAAAATATGCAATTACGCTGATTTTACTTAACAATAAAACTGAAACTAAATAAGACATAAAAATACCGCTTATAGGGTGTTGTAGATCTCGTTTTGCTGATTTCAGAGATCTTAATACCTCAATTTAGATAAAATTTCCATTAGGTTAGTAAAGAAGAAGGGCTAAATACTTTATTAAGCATATTTACTTCCACTCAGTATCCCGTAGCCATCGAGTATATAACCAGAAATAAAGACGAAACAAGGGCTATCCATCCCTGACAACTCATTAGGCAAGTAGAACATACATCACTTTTAAATATCAACTCTCGTTTGCACTGAAATCATAAATTAGAAAGCTGAAATAGTACAACGCCAACAAGACCTGTGTGTACGTCTCCGTATATTCCAAAAATATTCTGTATTTATTGTAAAAAAGATAATATCTCTAATGGGGGGCTGTTCCATTCGGTGGTGTAGGAACAGCAATACATCTAATTACAAAACAAACGGAATCACATTTCATCGGTAATTAAATATTAAATCATGTAATTCTTCAATTTTCGTCCATTATAGCAAAGCTCAAGTTAAACTGGTCGATTTGAAGTGAAACAATTGATGACACCCGTCATTTGTTTCAAATTCGGGCTGGCCAATCAGAGCGCAGTTGTCACCGTAATGATTTGACAGAATAGTTTTCAAACAAATTAAATGACATTACGTCTCTATTTCTGGTTATATACTCGATGCCCGTAGCCGTGGGACACCCTGCATAATTCAAATTCAAATTCCAAATTCCATATATTTGCCACACACATTTACTATATCTGCCACGTCACAAATATGTGGCGCGGATTCTTATCACTGATTTTCAGCCAGGAGTTACGGTCTCACATTGTTGTAACATATCAATTATAAAGTAAAATTAATATAGATCAATAATTACGCTATCTCTGAGCAGTGCGAAAAAAGAAAACAAAAAAAAATTACTTACACAATAAAAAATTAGAAACAAAATAAAAGCACAACAATTATCCCAAACAGACATAAGATATGTCTGAAATTTATTTAAAACATACTTTGATGACTCTGGGGTGATTCAGCATCCTTCTTCTGAACAGTTAAAAGTATTTTCCTCAATTTGAACTTAAGTTTGCTGGGACATACGTAGTTAAAAATCCAGGTTCTGGCATCACTAACCTTCTGATTAAAAGATCTCCCTAGTACGCCATCACCGCGTTTTAGGAGTTTAAATAGTCGTTTTAACTGCAGTTAATTAACTGTCTTTCCATATAATAAAAATACAGATTAGTTACACTTAGCGCTGTGTACTGGTAATCGAAGATTTCACGGTATCTCCGTAGTACAATACGAAAGAATAGTATAGATAAGGCATTAATATAACAATATAATTTCAACAGAACAGCCTAAAACTGTTACGTGGACAAGATATCAACTTTTACTACCAGGAAGTAACTGGAACATTGAACTATGAAATAGCTGTTGAATGTGATCATGAATAGTAGTAGAGTTTTAATACAACACAAAGGGATGCACGAAAGGAGCCTTCTTGTTCTGTATTGCGTTCCTTGGGCAATAATCGGCAAGCATAATATATTGGCAAATGTTTTCACGACACGATAAGAAGAAGAATATGGCGAAAGACAGATACGTTCTGTTTATGTCAATAATCTCAATACAGAGCACTAATAAAACCGACCTCAAAAGTCATTCATCCCCTATTGAGGTACCTACCCTCTTTAAAAAAAAAACTTCAAAATCGATTCACAAATGCCGGAGCCGTCGCGTAACATACACACAAAAAAAAAGAAATAAAAAACATAGAGTCGAATTGAGAATCTTCTCCTTTTTTTTGAAGTCGGTTAAAAAGACACAAGCTATTATTCAGGCTATTCATATATTTCTGTAAATGAACTCTACAGGGAAAGTTATGTAATATAATTTTTCTTACTACAATTTAAATTAGAGTTACTTAATATTGTAATATAACGAGATTTTGTAAACTTATCACAATAGTTATTTTATGTTCTTAAAATACATACAATAAATGTATTATGGGTACTTATTTTGAATGAGTTCAAACGTCACGATTTTTATTTTGTAACGAGTTACCTGTGGTTTTTAATATATTTTTAAGACAATGAGGAAGAAACCAATTTTGAAAAAAAATAGTAAGAAAAATTAATAATGCAAGCGGTGCTGAAATATATTGATATATATCAAGACAGATCATTTGTTTAATTTCCTTACTTTCTCATAAATCACAGATTTTGTGTATTTAACTATGTAAAAAATCATGAGCATGATGAATAATGAGTACGTACCAAACGTTATTGTAACACCTCGGCGATCGTTGTTCAAAACCTTTTAATACTCCCCTGTAAAGTTGGGGATTTAAGCTTACGATTGTTTACTTAAAATCGAAATTTGGTTTCAATTCTAAAGTAGAACGAATAGAAGTTACTTTCTAAATACAGTGAACGGCGCATCCATACAATTACTTTCCCAGCTCCGTCGATCGGAATCAAATGAATTGTTTTACAAACAATATAAATAATCGTAGTAAAACAAATAGCACAGTTCATTTCGCGCAGCCGTCGCGCCCGCACTCGCGCTCGACTCTGCTCCTCAACTTTTCCAATACCCTTCGGGTTATGATACCAACATGTTGAATATCACAACACTTGCCGTGTTGTTAGTGGTCCTTGGAGCATACACACACGCGTTAAATATAAAGACTGTGAGTGATAAAAAAATAATTAAACGTGAGACAGATGGTGAATTCTATCCGGATTGGGTACCTTTCAAGAATAAAAAAGGAGAAGAACTCGGAGAATTCGTTCAGGTAAAGAAGAAAAAACCGGCCAAAAGGTTAGCGCTACCAGTTAACTTTTTACTCAAACCTGTTGCTGAAACTGAAGGCGAAGATTACTACGAAAAAGGACAAGGTGATGGTGAAGATTACTATGAAAAGAAAGAATGGTCTGATCAACTCAGGACTGCTAAACAAGCCGCACCAGTCAAAGTTCTAACAAACAACACTGAGGCAAACGTGGAAGGAACAGTAAATATTGTTACGTCGGACAAACATCCTACTATGGATGTAGGGCCTTCTACTATCACTGAATCTGACTCCTTAGCTTTACCAGATGAAGAAAATAAACTAGAAAAGAAAACAGCAGAAGATATTTCGATCGATATCAATAAAGAAGACAGTGAGGTTAAGGTAGAGAGCAATGAAAGCGAGACAAAGGATAACAAAGAGAAACAAGAAAATAGCAAGATCGAGTCAGAAGTAGGATTAATACAGCCAATTGAATATCAAGGAGTGAAGAAGGAAATCCCTGTAGAAGATGGTACCACAGATGGTACAGTGGCGAAAAAAGCCAAGGAATATAATGACTACGAGGAAGAAAGCACAGAAAAAGCAAAACCAGAACAAACTGAAGAGGAAAAACAACAGGCGGAAGCTAAAAAACAACGCATTCTAGGTCTTGTTGATGATTTAAAACGACGCCATGAAAAAGAACAAAGAGAAATATCTGAAAGGGCAAAAGAAGATGAAATTATTAAAGAGGAACGGGACAGAGAGTTGAGTAGAGGCAGAATTATATTACAGCCAAATGAAGCAGATGAAGGATATGATAAATATAATAGCAAAAATTACAATAAAGACCGACCAAAACCCAATTACGACGATTACGATGAAACTACTAATGTGGATGACAAATATAAAATTCATCCTCCGACTAAAAAGCGACCTCCAGTGACAACGACAATTGCACCTGTAACGTCATCTAGTGTGAAGCCAATTATACGCACACCAAAAAGAAAAAGAACGAAATCCCCGCCAAATAAGCATGGAGAAAATGGTAAGCTTTCTGTGTTCAAAAATCCAAAATTGTATATGTTGTACGACGATGATACAACAGATGAGACAAGTACGGCGGTTTCTAGTACAAAATCACCAAGAATATCTGCAAGAATGAAACAAAGAAGACCTCTTACATCAACCTCACCATCTACAACACCTGCTTTACCTACGTCTCGCGATTCGAATGAGAGTGTTCGCATTTCTCTAGTTCCAGAAAATGACGATACAAAGGACGGTGAGCCAACGTTGTTCTTTCCTCAGAGGAGAAAGAACAAGCGCAGGCGAAAAAACAGAACCAGGTCATCTACTCCTGAACCAGATTCACACGTCGCCGAGTCAGTGAATGGATTTGCTAAAGATGTTATGAACCCAGGTATTAATGGGACTGAAATTTCTGCTTCTCAAAGTACATTAGAAACAAACGCTGTGCTATCTTCAGGGGAAGATATCTTGGCTAGTCCTACAGCTCCCGTAGCGTCAACAGAAACTATAACCTCTACAAGACCAGAAGATTCCTCGCCATTGGCAGCGGCACCATCGGCAGCTGTTTCTGATCCAGTGGCTTCCGCCAGTGGTCACGTAGAACCAAAGCACGAAAACTATGAAGTAGAAAAAGGTAAGTGAAGCTATTATATTTTAGACTTAAATTCTTTTGGATATACATACTCTACAGTAATTACAACGTCATGAAAGTAATAAACAAACAGATACTTCGATGAATTTACCACTATTCGTAATGTCTCGTGAAGATATTTGCGCACATCGTGTACGTATTTGTCATTTGTATTGGTTTGTAGTTTTAAACATCGTTAAATAATCGAACCAAACGTTTTCAACGAAAAATTACGTAAAGGTTAGAACATTTTAAGTGCTTTTTCATTGTTCTAATATTAAACACACGATTCGGTATTCTTGCATTTTCTATTAAAGGCTGGTTTATTTCGTCATACGCGTTTTAGGCGGCCGTTATTTAGGAGACATTTCGTGATGATGATTGCAATATGACCTAAGCCATTGTCAATTGCGTTTGTACTTGAGTCGTGTTTAATAACTTTTGTTAAAGTGATTTGAACGATCAATGTTTGAACAGAGCTATTGCGCGTTTAGATTTAGCTCAGTACTTAACTACGACGACGTTAGCTGTAGATATTGTTTTTTTTATAAATAGGGGCTATTTACATTAGGGAGACCCTGTATCACGGGTGCCATGGACACACACATAGACAACGACAAATTACACCCAAACTCATGAGAGAAATAAATGTAGGCCATACAAATATTATTATTTATTTATAACAACCAGGACCTCTGCGTGGCTGTCCGGCTTGGTAACCGTTCGGCCACAGAGGCAGTTTAAATAAATCATTATACAACAATAATTATACTTGCAAATATCGATACATAAAATGATTTTTCCAGAGCAGCACTAGTAACGCATGCCTAATGAATATAATGAGATGACGTAATGGAAGTCGCATTAGATGGAAGCAAGACACATAAATGATTTGAAACAATTGATGGGTGTCGTCAATTGTTTCACTTCAAATCGATCAGTTTAACTTGAGCTGTGCTATAAAGGACGAAAGTAGAAAAATTACATATTACATATATATATATTTAATTACCGATGAAATGTGATTCCGTTTGTTTTGTAATTAGATATTTTGCTGTTATTCCCACACCACCGAATAGAACAGCACGCCATTGTTACAGATATTATCTTTATTATAATAAATATTTTCTGGAATATACGAAGACGTACACACAGGTCAGTTTTTGGCACCGTCTATAAGCAAATGCCGAGTTGTGTCATAACATTATACATTCCATAAATTTTACAGCACGTCACTATTGACAACAATGAGTTCCTTCAACGTAGTTATGAATTAATACAAAACTTGGTGAGCGGACAAACGTCAAAGCGGCCATCACAGCGTGACGGTACTTTAGTACGTTTCTATCGCAAACGGCATAGAGTTGAATTTAAATCTTATCGCGCTTGAAGTGCTCTGGGTTTAATGGCTTTGGGATAACAAAGTTCCATTTTTAACCGCCTACAGAAAAAATGGAGGAGGTTCGCAATTCGTCTGTACTTTTTTATAGATGATTCTTTAATTTAAAGGGGTAACCTCAGTAGTGGTCCCATTTAAATTTGAAGAAAAAATTCCACCTCTAAGGGTGGTAAATTAAGGGATGAATCCGGTTTATTGGATACTCACTTTCCGTTAACCGATTTTAATAAAACGTGGCAAATAGATGTAATTCCACAAACTTTTGAGGTTGTTCGGTCGGTCAAACACATCTAAATTCCAATATACGGACTTACGGTCGTTTACCTGTCACCTACAGAAATAGGCAATCGGAGAGTAATCATAGAAAAAGTTTAAAATTTCGTCACAAATAATGTTTGCATAATAAAAACGATCATTTAAATAGTACTGAAAAGATTTATTTTAGTACCAATAAAGTTCCTTGTGAACATTAACTTACAATTATATGGACGTCGGGTCCGCGCTAAAAACTATCCGAACTTATAGGGCGTTAAAATCGTATACAGAGCGTCATTCACGCTCTAGTCTTCGTTTGTTCGACTGACAGCGAAGCAAGCAAAAATAGACAGTACTGCGATGACATTACAATTTAAATTCAACGTTTTAGCTTTTTCATATACCTTGACATGTCACTACGTTTAAATAGGTTGACTTGGGATATTTTTTTCGTGGTTTTTGTATTAGACCCGTCGTCCATTTATTTGTAAGTCAATGCTTGTGAAAGAGTTTGTCCAGAGAGGTACTGCCACCTTTATTAAGCCAAAAAGTAATTTGAGTTGTTCCGATTTTGAAGGGTTTTAAAGGTACTGGTAAAATTACAGGCACATGGGACTTGTCAACTTTTGTCTCAGGGTGTCGGGCGCAACAGCAGCGCCCTTCAGATCCTTGCGATTTAAAGCTCTGAGTGGCACTGCAACTGTTATGGACAGGCGTGTCGCTTACCACCAAGCGCACTACTAATTAGTCCAGTTGCTTGCTATAATAAAAAAAAAGAGTGAACGGTATAAATGTAATCTGTTCAAATCATCCTTCTCACTTTTTTCTTTTAACCTATATCTGTAGAAATTGTGTATAGAAGACAGCAGTAAATCAACACGTAACACGCAAGTGGCAAGTGCACATAGTCTACTTCGTTTACCTACTTAGTATGACGTCTCATGTTCCGAGTTGACACGTAGTGCCGCTTGGGTGGCTACACTTTTTTTAATTAAATTTTACTATAGTTTTACGGACTTGTTCACAGAAAGTATTTTTTTCTAGACCATTACGAATAATTTTAAATACTTCCTGAAGAATTTTCTGATTTCTTATTAAGTATTTTAAAGCACAATAACTCTAACAATACGCCAACTTTATTTTTGGAAATTTTCTATTATTTTCGTAAACAGCCATATTTAATTTCTTATACTATGCTCCTCGAATTTTGTGAAAAAAAAACAATAAAACCAAAAATTAAGACGACGTAGTGTCATTTTAGGTATCGTTATCACTCTACAATTGTATCTTATTACGTCACGTCGAAATTACGGAATATCTTTTCTCGAATCTTTCTCGCTGGTCACTTTCGTATATTCATTGATAATAGCTTCTATTACCAATATAATCATAAACAAATAATCAAAACACCGCTGTAATAACTAATGAGCTAATAACCGAAACGTAAGCGTATAATGAATGTTGTTATAGAGAAAGACAATAGATATGTAGTAAAACGCAATCTACGCTAAAATTTTGATATCGATTGTTTTCTAAATAAACCAACGTTTCTCTCTCAATTAGCCGTAATCAAGGGACTTGCAAAGGGCCTGAAATGTTGGTTTATTTGAAAAATAAAGCAATATGACCAATTAACTTTCTTAATGTATAAATGTGGCAATTTGGTTACCTACGGAATAAAGATATTTTGAATTTCGTACAACATGCCGTATGTTTTGCGTCGTTTTTATACGAAACTTACGAAATAAGGTCTACTCCAATTTAGCTAAGAAATTGTATTCACGGATGACGTCCTCCTTACTCCCGATATTGAATCAAAATATTGGACCTTCCAATTTTCGTGGTCAACCAAGTTGGGCCTTTTTTCTTGAAATATTGCTAAATTATCATCCAGTAGTAATGTTATTGTTATGTCTTTGTTTATGATATTAAGCGAAGGGCAAGATAGAAATCTTTCAGTCGAATTGCTCCGAATTCGATTTACGGCCTCGGTGATCGTACGGTTTACACTGTGCGGGAACGGGAGGTCCCTAGTTTGATTCCTGAAAAGACCAATTTGGGGAGACGAACTTTTGTAAATTGCGTGCAACCAAACAATATTTTGTACTGAAAGTGTTTTAAATATATTATGATTTATGTGTTTTGTGGCTACATAAATGTCTATTTTATTTATTAAAATTAAACTCGCTCCAAGCAACTTCAAATTCATGAGCATTCTCATTGAAAATGTTTAGTAATGAACATATAAAACGAATAAAATTACGTGTTTGTTTTATAATGCTGAAACATGAGCCCCGGAGATTTCAGACCAGTAGTGTTGCCAGATTTCATATATTTCTTAAATTTTTCGTAACTTTTGACCTGTCGCGTAATATGTAAGCAATTTTCGTAACTTTTGAGGACTTTGAAATTTTAAATTCAATTAAATTTGTTATTGTAAATTCGAAATAGATAATTTACGGGCGCACCCAAATTAGACAATAAAGTGATGATGGTTCAAATAAAATTAAATCTTCTTATTTTCTTGAGCGTGCCTACTTCTTATTTAGGATTTCGGTGTATTTTTTTTGTATGGTACTAACTCATGAGACAAACAAGTCGTACGCCTGTTGGTAAGCGACACGGCTGTCCGTAACAGTTGCAATCGCAAAGATCTGAGGGGAACTACAAATGCGCCCACTACCCTGAGACATAAGTTGAAAAGTACCATGTGCCTTTTATTTCACCAGCACCCTTACTCTTCAAAACCGGAACGCAGTAATGCTCATACTACTGCTTGGCGGCAGAAATAGGTAAGGTGACAGTACTTCCCTGGACGAACTCACTCATAGCCCCACACTAGGGAAACCCTGTGTCGTTGGTGCCATGGACACATACACACACATACACACACACACACACACACACACACACACACACACACACACACACATACACACAGAGAGAGAGAGAGAGAGAGAGAGAGAGAGAGAGAGAGAGACAAATACAAATTACACCGAAACTCACGAGAGAAATAAATGTAGGCCATACAAATATTTCTGCCGGCCCGGGAATCGAACCCAGGAACTCCGAGTGGCAAACTATTATGTCTGCCACTCGGAGTTCCTGGGTAACCGTTCGGCAGTTAATATATATATATCATTAACACTTAGACATATCGATTGTGATTGACTCTGCAGCAAAAATGTAACTTTTTAGGTAACGAAAAGCAATTTTCGACTCAAAAACCCTGGGAATAATGTTTAAGATGCTATGAATTAAGGAGATTAGCCCCTCAGAGCCCGATCCAATTATAACACCAACATACACTTATATAAAATTGACAAAAGGATATAATGATTATCATCTA